GAATGGCCGCCGGCGACGATTCCTCGCGCCGACTTCATCTCCTTCTCCGTCGATCGGCGATCTCCGTGTTAAGTTCTTGCGAATTGTTTCTAATCAGGAACAGCTTAAACTCGCCTTCAATCAGCTAGATTTTCAGATCCGAACTGGCTTGCAGGAAGTACAAATTCTTCAAACTCCTAATTTTAATATTACGTTCCGTCTGTCAAAACCTAAAGCAAATGGAGAGTTGTGGATTTGACGTTTTAATTTGTGTTTTTGTTTTTTGAAGGCCGCAGACGTGTTTGAATCGTTAGCTAATCCGCTGATGAAGCTAGTAGGATTGAAGACTGTTGAAATGTCTGAGGAAGGAAAAATTAATACCGTTGTCTTCGATTATAATCATTTTTATTCCGATGTACTCTTCCGTCCAATTCGTATACTCTGTTATCTCCATTTGTTTAATCAATGTCTGAACTCTGAAGTTTTGTTTGAGCCTGTTGATAATTGTGAAGATAAACTCCTATGCATATTCGGTTTCTCAATTCTGTGTTTACTTTCCCAGAGAGAGTGAAAAAAAATGGTTTCGGTGACAGGACTGCAAGAAAAACGAGAATGGAGCTGAAAGGACGGTGAGAAAAGAGGCTAGTGAAATTGAGGTACTACGTAACGAGTTTGAGTTTCCGTATGCATTGATAATGGCAGATTTCCTTTTCGTTTTATATGACTCTAAGCTCAAGATGTTAGTTTAATTTATGCACTCCAATTACATTATTCATAGTGATTGAAAGCCCAGTCTGATAGAGAGACTATCTGAGTATAAAATTTGAATAGTTAAATGAACTTTATGTTTTGAAACTTGTGAAAATTGTAGTAGTTTCAAACAGTGTAATGTTCCAAAACAGAAAGTGTGTCGTATAGTCAGAATAGCAGGAGTCTGTGTATGATGTGTATTTCTATCAGTAATTGAACCGTGAGACTAATTGGAGCGGCAATGCTTTCCAGCAGCTAATCTTGACACCTATATGTGTATCAAGCAAGTGATTGGACACTGTTTTCATTTGAATGACAAAAGCATGAAATCCGGAAGTGATTGAACGATATATCTATGCTCCATACAAATCTGAAACTTTACATCTTACTCACTCTGCCTTTGTGTATCTCAAATTTTGTTATCATTTGGTGTACATGGAATGTTAATCGTTGTTTAGCATTGAGGTCTAAGCTTAGTTTATAGTGTGGTAATTGTCTGTATACACTTCAAGAAAGCTTTGTGAATAACACTGACTTAATGAAGTATTGGAATGGGATGACTCTTCAAAAGATTCCCATGAATTTCGACATGAAGTGCTTGATAGTAGATGTGAACTTGGTTTCTCAATTTGTAAATGCAGGAAGAAGGCTATATGAATAGAGCCAAAACAGTTGGCAGAGAGCTAATTCAGAAACAAGAGATGCAGCTAATGCAGTTGATCCATCTGCTAAGACAAGTTGAATCCCAAGTAAATACAAGCCAAACCAACATTCTTCAGACCCTTAGTGACCATCAAAATTCCATACATAATGTTTTCAAGAAAGCTGTTGCATATGTTTCTGCCTTTCACCAAAGAGGTGAAAATAATGGCACTTCTTTGATCACAATTCAACTTCTAAAACACATATTCCGTCTTGTTGTTACTACACTGAGCTCAGTAGAGTGTGGAGTGGACAACCTAGTAGATGAGCTAGCCACAAGAATGTGTAGTCCAATGGTCGACTATGTCAAGGGTCTTAAGCTAGAAGTCACATCAGGAAGATGTCATCGCTTACTGAGCATAGTGGAAGAGATGGGAGGAGCAATGAGAACAGGGAGGACAGAGTTGGAGGAAGCAAGGAAGAAGGCAAGAATAGCAGAACATAATAGACTTGAGGTGTTGTACAAGCTGAAGGAATCAGAAGAAATGGCAAGGAAATATCAAGGATTTCTTTCGAAAGCCAAGAATGGATCAAAGGAACAATTTGAGCAAGAGAAGGTATTACTCATACTTGATTAGTTTACTACAAATTCACTTAATGTCAGCCGTCTCTTTAGTCTGAAGAGAAAAACCTCTTCACTATGGGTGGTCAAGGATGCACTGTCTCTCAGAGTCTTGCTATTTAGTAAATTAAATTTACCTCCCATACTACATATACTGATAAATCTGGTGACTCTTCATTTGCTGTCACTATATGGATTTGAGCTATTTATGCCAAAACCTTTTGAACTCATTAAATTTCTTGTTATGATCTTCAGTTCTTTATTGAAGGAGTTCAAACTTGTTATTTTTCCAAAATTAACGAACTCAATGATTGTTTGGAAGAAGGAATACACGCTTCTGAGAATGTACATATGCTTAGAAATGGTGAATGAAACATCTTAATATGGATGGAATTTATATAGACAATAGTCATCCACTCACATATGCTTTTCTCAATCCCTGTGCATTAGCATTGTGTAGCATCTGTCCTTTCTATATTCTGTAGTATTATAACTTCCAATTTTGTTATTTGTATTTCAATTGTCGAAATGGAAATTGCTTGTAAACTGGCTTTGTTAGGAGCTGCATTTGGGAAATATCAGCTCTGCTCACTTGCTAAACCTTTTAGTGCTACTGACTGTGCTATTGTTTGCAAATTGTGGTTCTATCATTAAGCTTGTAGTGAAGGACCAGGATCATGCTAAAGAGGACAACCTACTGTGGGAGCTACTACAGAAGAAGAGAAAATTAGGCATGGGAAATGGAAGCAGTAAACCATGCGGCCGTGCATTGAGACAGTTGAAAGAGCTAGGTCCACAAACCCCGCACTTGGGTCCTTCCTCTTCACCTACACACAGTTCAAATGGGCAACATTTGCTACCCATGATACCCCTGGGTACTTCACCTTCAGTGACGTATCCACAACACAAACCTCAGAAAAAGATCAAATCCGGATTTCGTACATAAAATTTTAGCATGTGGCAAGCAGGTCACTTGCTGGTAGGAGGCTTGGACCAGTTTGCCTATGGCTTGGTTTTCGTAACTATACCTTGATTACCTTGTAACTTTTACTGCAAGGTGCTTCAGTGGTTTTGCCATTTTTGCGTTCTGTTATTCCACCATGTTGACAGTGTATAAAGTAAGCGTTAGAGTGCATTCACTGATTAAACTTTCTAAACCATGAAGATATCCTCTAGTGTGGACAGTGGTTACAAGCAAAAGAACTGTCTGCAAACCATTGAATAGCTGCTTATGTCTACTATCCTAAAGAAAGTAGTAGTAGTTGTATATGTTAAACAATAGTGGAAATGCAGATGCAGTAATGTCTATATAGGAACTAAATAACCCTGTTCACTATGAAAAACATTTCTAGATGAGTTCGGTCAGAGCTAAGCAAGTAGGGATATTAGAAATTTGAACAGGTGTAAGACTTGAAGTTTTCTAAAGCAGGTATTCAAGGAATATTAGCACATATTTATTCAGATTGTGTATCTCACTATGTAGTGATCTTCAACTATCAGACAACATGGATACAATTTTGTAACGTAAGTGATACTTCATAAGCGTGATCAATTTTCGTCATATATGGGCATTCTGTAACTATATAAGGAGATCAATAAATGCATAGAAGCAGCAACAAAACAGTACTCTTTATCTTTTCTGTGCTGTCAAGTGCAACAGTGATCCTGCACTTGTTACCAAATTAGCCAACTTAGGTGCTAATTTTGATTGTGCTAGCCTTCTCGAGATTGACAGTCTTAAGTCATGGGATTAGCCCAACCCAAATCATATTTGCTTACGCTTGCTAGGCTATTTCCCACATCAAGCACACTGCTGCTATCGGGGTTAATCTCACAACTTTTGGGTCAACAATACCTCATATCCAAGATGATAAATAGAAAGACATAACGAGAAAAAAGGTAATTCAAAAGGCACGATATATTGAAATTTCAAATTTTGATCTGATATACATACAATTACAGAATAATACATATGAAGAGTGAATAGAAAGAAGGCAAATAATGAGATTATAAGGTATTGAGATTAGTAAACAAAAAGGTTTAGGATCATATTAAAGTATTGGAATTGGAGGTTTATACCTTGGAGTTGGTGTGGAATGGAGATAAGTGGGTGAAATTCTGTCCTGTTTGGTATAGTTTTGGTGAGGTTAATGTCATTGGTGCTCTTCATTGGATAGATCGCGAAGAAAATGATAGAATTTACTGCTTCAATATTGAAGCAGAAAAGATCAAGTCCCTGTCAGCTCCACTGGGTCTGGAAACTCTATCCTCGCATTTGAGGCTAGCAGAGTTGGGGAATTGTCTTTGTTTGATTGATCTTATCGACAAACAACACCTTAATATCTGGTGGATGAAAGAGTATGGGATTGCTGAATCTTGAACTAAAGATAACATTTTGGTGGATTCTATTCCCTCTGATATGGATAACTATAATTTTGAACTGATAATATTTTGGAAAGATGGAGAAATCTTGATGAAGTCGCACAAAACTAGCTTCTTACAACAAGGGTTGCGTATCGGTCGGTTCGGTTTTGAAGTTTATCGATTCGACTTATCGGTTTGTAGACATGCTAAATTGTTAAGAACCATTAAGATATTGGCTTACTGGTTACCGGTTACCGGTTACCGATTTATCGGTTATTGATCGTTATCGGTTTAACCGCTATGATTTGATACAAAAAATAAATGATTGAAAATCACTTAGAAGCATGGTAACAAACCAAATAAACCATGCACATATGTTGATAGCTTGTATCTTGCTCAAAAACAACACTAACACATTGTAAAATAATCAAAAGTTTGAGACAGTCAGAAAAAAAAAAGAAGTAAATCCTAAGTCTAGAATTTTATTTACCGAATGGTATAAATATCATTTAGTAATAAACAATTGGGCTATCAGTTAACCCATTAAGAAAAAACCTCGTTAAGAATCGATAACCCGATAATAAAAAAAATCAAAACCATTAAACCAATAACCCATTACCGATGAACCAATAAATTTTTTTAGGTTCGGGTTATCGGTTTCAATTTGATTTTGAACCACCCTACTTACAACCCAAAATGGAAGAAGCTCAGGGTGGTTAATGTTTACCATGATGTTACTGCAACGACTAGATACATTTCAAGCTTTTACTCGCTCAAGACTATCATGGGGGACAACTTTCAAGTCACAAATGTTTATTCGGAGACTTATATAACTTAGTATTTATTTAGTCTTGCTTCCTCAAGGATATTATGTTTAGCTTATGTGTTTCTGATTTAGTTTAGTTTAAAACCTGGCAACTTTTACTATTTTGTGGGTACTTTTGAATTCCAGCAAACCTTCTGAGCCAACACTGGGTGGAGCGCAACCAAGACGCCACCGTCTATGTCGGCAATCTCGACCCTCAAATTGCTGAAGAGTTGTTATGGGAGCCTGTTTGTCAAACAAGTTTAGTAGTCAATGTTTATGTCCCAAGGACAGAGTTACTAATGCTCATCAGGGATACAGTTTTGTGGAATTCCAAAGTGAAGAAGGTGTTGACTATGCAATAAAGGTACTGAATATGATAGAACTTTATGGGGAACCAACAGTTCCCAGTGTTCTAGAAGCCAATGGTGCGGTTGGTGCTCCTATTCCCCCACTGCCTTTTGCAAATGGTCCTATGCCTCCAATTCCTGTTCCAGCAATTCAGCCACCACCTATGCACCCTAATGTCTACCCACCAATGCAGATGCCTTCACCACAAGCTTGCCAGGGACAACCTATGCAACCAGCTGCAGGTGGCATTCTGTAGCAGCAAATGCGCAGAGGAATGCCACATCCGCAGCCCTCACAGTTAGCTCCACCCCTAAATAGGCCCCCTCCACCACCAGCTGTAATGGGTGGTAATGTTTAGCGTCTGCCACCACCTCATCAGCACTTAAATGGTGGTCACCATGCTATGCCCCATATGTCGATGCAACCACCCTCTCCGCTTTCTACACCAGGTTGAAAATTGGAGACACCTAATTTTGTAGTATCTTGAATGTCTATCCATTCTGGGGTATAACATTTGATGAATAATGAATTGCTCAAAATACTTTTGATGATGACAACATGAACCAGGTTCACATAACACATACCAGACTTAAAATGAAGAGGCGGGAAGAGTTCATTTATGCAGAGATAAAATAGGAAAAACGTGTCCAAAGCAGTAAGCCAAGTTAATGTCATGCCCCGAAGCTACCCCCAGGACACGGACACGGGACCTAGGATCACGAGTGACCCCAAGCTAACCCTGTTGGCATATCATAAGCATACTAAATAAACTGAAGTAAGAAAATACTGTGCGGAAGCTAAATCATAAGATAAACTTAAATGAAATGATGGGGATACCCATAATTATATAAATATATAAAAACTGAGAGTTTAACAACAACTGAAAGGTCAAACTCAAATGTTACAGCTGAAACTAACTATGTCTGAAATAAGCCTCTAACTGACTAGAAGTGTTGGGACATGCCCCAGCTAAATCTAGCAAAGACCGAAACTAAAGACTAAAAGCAAAAGAAACATGTTTGTCGTCCTCGGAGAATGAGGACTCATCACTGATACTGCTAATCTGAAGATCGGGAACCGATCTATGCGTGATCTGGAAGCTGAGGACTTGAACCTACATCACGAGAAGTTGTAGCGCAGAGTATGCGTCAGTACTTGAAAGGTACTGAGCATGCATGATAGAATAAAGCTGAATAAAAACATAAATAACTGAACTAAACATATAACTGAGAAATGACATGAGATAAGCATGATACTATACTGAAAATACTGAACAGGAGCTAACTGAATGTAATGACCAAGTTTATAACATGCTGAGACTGAAATCTGACTGTAACTGATAACATGGTCAATCAATGGAATCTGACTGTGGGAGCTACTAATAACTGACATAAAAACACATGAGCTAAATGTGGAGTCCAATGTATACTCCCCATCGAGAGGACCCCATATACCCTGCCAGAGGTATAGAGGCATGACTAGCGTGATCACTAAACTGATGCCCACAAATGGGACTTATAACCTATGTGGGCACGTAGTTCTGGGACTTGAAGGTGACTGACCCTAGTCCAACTCAGTATTAAGCCTACTCCCAACTGAATATGTGAAATTTATAACATCCTGAAGTAAATGGGATAGCTCAATAATCTGACATGTAAACTCTGAAAATGCAACAATTATAACTAATAATGAGACAGTCGTAAACTGAAGCATGTATATCTGAAATAACTAACCTAGCATATGTAATTCATGAACTAAAAGAACTACATAGCTAGGGTTCTGAATATCATACAAAAAACTAAGTAACAATATGATAATCTTATTTGGATCATTCTAACAGCTAAAACCCAACAATTTTCTAACATTCAAAAAACCCTAGGTCTAGATAATATTAAAGGAATCAAGATTCTGATTGAAATCTAGGGGCCCAATGGGTGAAAGAAACCCACTAGTAAAATCCCACATACCTGGTGACGAATTCCACGGAGAAATCTTCGATTTCGGGGCTGGAACTAATGAAATCTCGCTGCATTCTTGAACTAGGGCTGCTCATCTTTCTCCTCTTTTTTGCTCTAAGTTTCGTTTGATTTTGGTGAATAATTGATTTGGTTAGGTTCTAATTAGTTTACTAGGCTAAAACTGATCAAAACCACATAGTTTAGGGGTTAAACGACATAGTTTAGGGGTCCAACACATGAGGAAAAGACCAAACGACCCCTGACTTAAAAGCTGTCGGGGTCACCGACGGACCAGACCGACGGTCCGTGAATGGACCGACGGTCCGTCCTGGTGACCGTCGACGGGGTTCTGGGACTGACATCTGAGGGGTGTGATCCACGGACTACGACCACGGCCTGTGGTCTGACCTACGATCCGTGGTCTGACCTATGGTCCGTGGGTCTGGTCGTGGGTCAACCCTTAGATAGTTTTCTGGACCTTTTATGGGAGGGTGTTGTAGGTGGTGAATCACAGACCACCAGTACAGACCGTGGGTCACCCTACGGTCTGTGGGTGGCAACCGTGGGTTGCACCTGCAAATTTTGGAAAATCTGTTGGTTTAGTCTGTTTAGGATACGGGGTGTTACATTGTCTCCCCCTTGGGAACATTTGTCCTCGAATGAAGTCTAAACTAGTTGGATAGGGAGGGAAAGAGCTGCAAACCTTACCACTAATTACTAGAATCTGATTTCTGATTGAACTAAGTTCCAATAACATGCAAATATGCTGAAAATGCAAGTAGAAATTGAAGGAAGATGATACTAAGACTGAAGCTACGCATGAGTAACTAAAATACTGGAGAGGAACTATTACTTCAAGCTTCTGCTTCCCAAGTAGCTCCCTCTACAGACTGACTCTTCCAGAAAACCTTTATTGAAGCGACTTCTTTGTTTCTCAACCTTCAAACCTGATGATTAAGAATCTCAACTAGCACATCCTCATAAGTGAGACTATCCTTCACAGCCACACACTCTAAAGGTACTATAGATGCTGGATCACCCACACACTTCTTCAACAATGAAATGTGAAAGACCAGATGCACTACTGCTAGTTCTGCTGGTAACTCTAACTCATAAGCCACTTTTCCAACTCTTTTCAAGATCTTGTAAAGGCCTGCATATCTAGGACTGAGCTTCCCTTTTCCCCCAAATCTCATCAACCCCTTCATAGGTGACACTTTCAGGAAAATCCAATCATCAATTTGGAACTCCAAGTCCCTTCTCCTTACATATGCATAGGACTTCTGGCGACTCTGGGTTGTTAAGTATATCTCTAATGAGCCAAACTTTTCCATGGCATCATGAATCCAATCTGGCCCTATCAAGGCTGCTTCACCTACTTTAAACCAACCAACTGGAGATCTGCATCTACGCCCGTACAATGCCTCATAAGGTGCCATCTGAATACTGGAATGTTAGCTATTATTGTAGGTGAACTCTATAAGAGGAAGGTGATCATCCCAACTACCCTTGAAATCGATCACGCAAGCTCTCAACATGCCCTCTAAGGTCTGAATGGTACGCTCTACCTGACCATCCATCTGTGGATGAAATGCGGTGCTAAGATTAACCTGAGTACCAAGACCTTTCTGAAATGAATTCCAGAAATGAGAGGTAAACTGAGGACCTCTATCTGAAATGATAGACAAAGGAACCCCATGCAACCTGACTATCTCATTAATGTAATGGTTGGCGTAGTCCTCCGCCAAATCTGTAGTCTTAACCGCTGGAGTCACGTTGTATGCGAGTATGAGGTAAACTTGTAATGAAGTCCATGCTGATCACTTCCCACTTCCAACTAGGAATGTTTATATCTTGAGTCATACATCCTGGTTTCTAATGTTTTACCTTCACTTGCTGGCAATTAGGGCACTTAGCCACAAAATCTGCTATATCCCTTTCCATACCATTCCACCAAAATACTTCCCGCAGATCGCGATACATCTTAGTGGCGTCTGGATGAATAGAATACTTGGAGTTATGGGCTTCTGCAAGAATTTGTTGTCTCAACTCACCCACCTTAGGAATAAATAATCGACCATGATAGCGAAGCACACCATCTCCCCCTTGGGAGAAAACCTCAACTCTCTGCTGATGAACTGCACCCTTTAGTTGAAGCAATATCGGATCACTGTCTTGTATTCCCTTAACCTCCACTACCAATGAAAATTATGACCTATTTTAAACTGTTACACCACCATCTAATATGCTCATAAGGCGAACTCCCAAACAAGCAAGCTTGTGAACATCTTTGCTAGTTCTTTTCTCTCTTCCTCAACATGTGCTACACTACCCATAGATAGTCTGTTAAGGGCATCTACTACTACATGCCTTACTAGGATGGTAATGCACATTCATATCATAATCCTTGAGGAACTCATGCCATCTCATTTGGCGAAAATTCAACTCTTTTTGGGTGAACACATACTGAAGGCTCTTATGGTCTGTGAACACATCTACATGAACACCATACAAGTAATGTCTCCAAATCTTAAGTGCAAACACCACTGCTACAAGCTCGAGGTCATGAGTCAGATAATGCTTCTCATGCACCTTAAGATTTCTAGAAGCATAAGCTATAACCTTACCTCGCTGCATTAATACACAACCTAGGCCGACTGTGGATGCATCACAATAGATCACATAACCGTCTGAACCCTCTGGTAGAGTCAAAACATGAGATGTAGTCAACCTAGGTTTCAGTTATTCGAAGCTTTTCTCACAATTATCTGACCACTGAAACTTAACCTTTTTCTAAGTTAACTTAGCTAATGGAGAAACTATAGATGAAAATCCTTCCACGAACCTTCTGTAGTAACCAGCCAAACCCAAGAAACTTCTGATATATGAAGAAGAGGTAGGTCTGGGCCATTGTTACCTGTTTCTATTTTCTGAGAATCCACTCGGATCCCTTCGCTAGACACAATATGCCCAATAAATGCAACATACTGCAACCAAAACTCACACTCACTGAACTTAGCGAATAATTGGCGATCTTTGAGAGTTTGCAGGACAACCCTCAAATGAGTTGTATGTTCTTCCTCATTCTTGGAGTAAATGAGGATATCATCAATATAGACGATAATGAACAAGTCCAAATACTGCTTGAACACTCTGTTCATCAAATCCATGAAAGCTGCAAGAGCATTGGTTAGTCCAAATGACATAATTACAAATTCATAATGACCATACCGAGTTCTGAAGGCTGTTTTTGGAATGTCACTATCTCTGACTCTAAGCTGATGATAATCGGATCTGA